CAGTGTGTGGGCAGGACCTAGGGTCTCATGAGGAAGGAGGGAGATTTCTGGGGAATGGGACCTGTGACAGGGGCTCTTGGGCAGTGGGGGGAGGGTGACCCAGACCATTAAATCCTTGAGAGCAAGCTGAGCTCCCCAGCACATCTGCCCACAGGTACCTGGGCCAGCTGGACGACAGCGAGTTTGAGAGAGCCCTGCAGGAGCTGCAGCTGACCAGGAGTATCTGGACCATCGACCTGGCCTACCTGATGCACCACTTTGGCGTGAGGCACCGCTTCTGTACCCAGACCCTGGGCGTCGACAAGGGCTACAAGAACCAGGTTAGCGGCCAGCCACCAGGCCTTCCCATGTGAGGCCACACAGAGGTATAAGGCCGCCTGGTTCCAGTAGTTGGAAGAGGGAGCAGTCAAGGCCTAGACCCCCAGGTAGATACCCAGGTCTGCAGAGACCAGGGAGCCAGCAGCAAAGAGGCTAGAGGCAGGATTTGGGAGCCAGTCAGAGCAGGTGACGTTACAGTCTGGCTTGCCCAGAGGATCTAAGTATTAAGTCCTGGCTCCTGTCCGCCTGCCTTTTACACCCTCAGAATATGCAGAGGCCACTTCCTCCTGTCCTCAGCACAAGGCAGGACACAGCCTCTGAGTTCTCACTGACCTCATCCGGCCATCATTTGCACTTTTTTTTTTTTTTTCACCAGGAGAGTCAGCTTTTCAGCTGGGTAATTATTAGTCTAGAAGAAAACCAAAATACCATCTTTTCTTTTTTTTTTTTTTGCCTTTTGAAAAATAATGCCACCATAGCCACACTAGCAGAGTGTTCCGTGGACAGCACTTAGCTAAGCCAAGCTGCAGCGGAGCTATCCCAGGTGGCTCAGCCTCATTCCCCTTGCTTATTCGCTACAGTCTACTGCTCAGGCCTGCCAGAGTGTACAAGCCCAAGGGTGATCAGTCCTCCCCGGGAAGGTGACCTGAGCCCAGCTGCCCACCCCTCTCTTAAGCATCCCCTTTTTGGCCTCTGTGCTACATCCCTGCTCCTGCTTAGGGCAGATAGGCAAACTGCACGTACCGTCTGCCCTGGCAGGTGTGGCTCCTCTGCCCTCTGTTGTCTCTGTCTCCATAACACGCTCTTTAGTTCCTTCATCCGAATGGAATGAAGACAGCCTGAGTGGTGGCCACTCCAACCCCCTCTTCTCTGTTTAGTCCTTCTACAGGAAGCACTTTGACACGGAGGAGACCCGGGTGAATCAGCTGTTTGCACAAGCCAAGGCCTGCAAGGTGCTGGTGGAGAAATGGTGAGCCCCCCACCTTCCTACCTGCCCTTCTTCTCACTCCTGCTCACCCATAGATCTGCAGTGGGGAGGGCTTGGGATGGCGTTCAGGAAAGGCTGGGACTCTGGAGCCAGGCAGAACTGGCTACCCGGGTGGCTATGGGCTCTAGCTTGCCCCCTTGAGCCTTGGTTTATGGAGATCAGTGGGGCTACATGACCCAGGCTCTGGCCAGGGTAGATCCTGAGCAGGTGCTGGATGGACAGGTGAGTGAGAGAGACTGCAGCCAGCCCTTGGGCTGCTTGCAGAACGACAGCATGGGACAGAACACAAGAGCCCTAATGAAAGGGCAGTGGCCTGAGAGGAGTGTCCTGGTGCAGTGACTGACAAGGGATGGGGATCAGGGAGGACCCAGTGTGTAGGCTACCTAGGAAGGCCTGGCTTCCAGATCTGCCTGCGGGCTGCTGTGACCTTACAAAGGCCCTCCCTTCTCATCTGTGTGCACTGGGGCTGGATTTAGGAATACCCTGGCTGCAGTTTGCCCAGATGTGAATGGCATTCTTTTCTGGGCTTTGTGGGAGTGGGGGGGGGCTCAGGCCTGCTGCCTCTAGGTCCTGGGCAGGCTCCCTGGACACGAGTCTTTTCAGATTTCCCCTTTCTTTGTGGATTTATATTTTCATTATTGACATACTATAATCACATGATAGGTGATTTAGAAAATTGGGAGGCCGAGGTGGGTGGATCACGAGGTCAAGAGATCAAGACCATCCTGGTCAACGAGGTGAAACCCCGTCTCTACTAAAAATACAAAAATTAGCTTGGCATGGTGGTGCGCGCCTGTAGTCCCAGCTACCCAGGAGACTGAGGCAGGAGAATTGCTTGAACCCAGAAGGTGGAGGTTTCAGTGAGCCGAGATTGTGCCATTGCACTCCAGTCTGGGTAACAGCAGCGAAACTCCGACTCGAGAAAAAAAAAAAAAAGAAAATGGCGGGGGTGGAATCTTCATTCACCCTTTGACCACATGGACACATTGGAAGGAAAGGGAGCACATGTTTGTTTAACGGCCCTTAGCTGTTGCGGTCTCTGTTTCTCAGAGGAGGAAACTGAGGATGGGAGAGCCACCCAAGGTTACCCCAGCATTTTGGCCATGCCATGATCTGAACCCATGCTTGTTATTCCTTGAAGCCTGTAGCTTTTCCTTCCAGCCCAGCCCCTACTTTTTCCCTATAGCTGAAATCCCACTCTTGTACACTGCCACTGGGAACTTAGCCAGCTATTTTGTTTCAAAGACCAAATGGAAAAATGGCATGTTTCCGTGGCCAAGGCAGCAATCCAAACTGCCACGTGACTCAGCCGTGGTTGAAGCTGGGCCAGGCCACGTGGTACTGATGCTGCCACTCCTAGGGAGGGCCCCAAGTGGGTGAGCAGCCCCCACCAGCAAAGATGTGGGAGCCCCTGGCCTAAAGCTCCCCCTGCCCACAAACCCATCTGCCCACTGCCCCTCTGGGTGTTTTCTTTTTCCTTTTTTTTTCTTCTTGAGATAGGGTCTTACTCTGTCATATGGGCTGGAGTGCCGTGGTGCAATATAGCTCACTGCTACAGCCCCAGGCTCCAGTGATCTTTTTGCCTCAGTCTCCTGAGTAGCTGGAACCACAATCTCGTGCCACCACACCCCATGCCTGGTAAATTTTTAAATGTTTTTGTAGAGACAGGGTACTGCTGTGTTGCCCAGGCTGGTCTCTTAACTCCTGGGTTCAAGCAATCCTCCTGCTTTGGCCTCCCAAGGCACTGGGAATACAGGCATGAGCCACTGTGCCCAGCCCCCTTCTGGGTTTTAATTTCGATTTGCTGCCTGCTGGAAGGCACAAGGTGGGGCAGCACCTTCTGCCAGTGAGGGGGGCTCCAGGCAGACATCACTGCTGGAGTTTCACTGGAAGCACTGTGGCCCAGCCCTTCCTTGGAAGCCCCTTATGCCACAAGGAGCCTTAGGAAAAAAGTAAAATAGCTCTTTCAGAGAAGCATTTGGTTTTGAAAGTGTCTAAGCCATGCTTGGCTCAGATTTGGGAGATTAGATTGGGCTGGCAGTTTTCAGTGTAAACCACCCATGATTTAGGGTTGAGGAAAGACATGACCAGGCAAAAAGAATTCACTAACCAGGCTAGGGCACAGCAGGAGGTGGTTTCTGTGTACTGCTTTCATGGCCCTCGACTGGGCCCACCTGGAGCTGACCTACTGTCCCCATGAAGGGCCTGACAGGGCCAGCTCATCTTTGTGCACACTCAGACACACACACACCCCAACCATTCCCCTGCTTGGCTCTAGGCTGAGCTTGGGCCCCAATGACAGAGCAGGGAATTCAGGGCAAAGGGGAGAGGAGCTGATCCCCAAGCTTTGTAACAGAAACAGGCACAAGCAGGGATCTGGTTGAGGGATGGGGAATGGGAGCCTAGCAGCACCAGCTGACACCCTCCTGCCCACAGCACGGTGAGTGTGCAGGACATCCAGGCGCACCTGGCGCAGGGCCATGTAGCCATCGTGCTGGTGAATTCAGGGGTGCTGCACTGCGACCTGTGCTCCAGCCCTGTCAAGTACTGCTGCTTCGCTCCCAGTGGCCACCGCTGCTTCTGCCGCACTCCTGACTACCAGGGCCACTTCATCGTTCTGCGCGGTTATAACCGGGCCACTGGCTGCATCTTCTACAACAATCCAGCCTACGCCGACCGTGAGTGCTGGCTGGGGCAGGTGAAGCAGAGTGGTCCACATTCACTGTTCTGTATGCCCAGTGCCCACGATTCCCACCCCTTCAATCTCACGTGGCCAGGGCCTCCTTCCCCACCTTTTCCCCAAAGCCCCTGCTCCTCCTGGGCTCTTGTCACTGGGGCCACCCTTCATGCCATGCAGGCAAACCTGCCACAAACTGTGCCAGCCTCCTCTATACCCCAGCCACCCCTCCCTCCCACACCGCTGGCCCCACGCCATTGCCCAGGTCCCTGTCTTACCCTCTCATGTTGCACAGGCTGCACCCCTCCCCCAAGCCCCAGGATGGCCAGCACATTCCTCAGAAAGAAAAGCCCGGCCAGACCCAGCCCTTGCTGTAGACCTATCCTGGCCTGCCTACTGCCCTCCGGGCACAGGGAAGGGCTGCCCTGACTCTCATAGACTGGACTCACGTAGACACTCTGATCACATAGACTTAACCCATCTATGTGGCCTAGAGCATGTTTCTTCCCCTCTGGGCTTCACCCTCTCCAACTGCTCAACTGGGTAGGAGTCAGAGAAAGCTCTTGACCAGAATAGGCAAGGAGGACTTCCTGGGGGTGGAGGGCTTGAGCTGAGAGGAGTGGCCAAGCGGGTGGGACACAGACCTCACCCAGCTCCCCCGGACACTGTCGGTGGGGTAGGTGCTCTCATGCAACCCACTGACCCTGTTCTGCCCTCCCCACCCCCAGCAGGAATGTGCAGCACCAGCATCAGTAACTTTGAGGAGGCCAGAACGAGCTATGGCACAGATGAGGATATCCTCTTTGTCTACTTGGACAGCTGACACCAGGAGCCTGGTGTGCCCAGGCCCTCGGACCCCATCCCCACCCCAGCTGGGCCCACTCAGGATGCCCTGGCCCAGGCCTGGGGCTGCTGGGGCTGGAATGTGGAACTGCAGCCTCAGCCCATCTGGCAGAGCCCCAGGAACTCTGGGAGACTGTGGCACAGCTGCTTTGTCTGCCAGTGCCCTGTGTTGTCATGTCCCTCACCCCAAGCACCTGCTGGCTGCCGGAAGCATCCCCCGAGACCTCAAGCCTGACTCCAGCTGTACCCACAGAAAGTCCAGCTCCGACAGTACCCTTGTTGCCTTTGAGCCAGACCCAAGGCAAGAGAGAGGCTTTGTCTCCCCACAGACTGCAGGACTGAGCCTGGAGAGAGAAGTCGCTTGACAGATGCCACTTGTCAGAACAGTATGTGAGTGTCTGGAGACAGCATAGCTGACCCCAACCCCCCAGCACTGAGGACCCCTCCAGGCTCCTCTTTCTTGGAAGTGCCCCCATGCCCCATGGTTGATGACACCACTGCCTCCTGCCTACCCATGGGCCCAAGTTTCTGTGGCTGGTTTCAGGGCATCTGGTCCCTGCCACTCAGCATAGATACACCTCACAGCTCATGCAGAGCCCTGGTCCCTGGGGACTCTTAAGCTCCCCACAGTCCTCCAGGTCCTCCAGCTCTGTCAGATGGAGGGCTCTCAGGGGTGTGACCTGGGCCTGGTCCCACTGATGGCTGGCAGCAGCATGTGCTCTGGGAATAAAGAGCAGCCCTAGCCCCAGAGGGATCCCCGCACCCAGGAGGCCTCCCGACACCAGCCTAAATCCTGACAGTGGGGTCTGCCCTCTGAGATGGGGAGCCCCTAGTCCTTTAAGGTTGGTTGCTAGGGCCTGTGCTCCAAAGCAATGGGCAGGGGCAGCCTGCAGCTGCCCACCCAACCTAGTCTTCACACCAGGTTGCACAGGATCTCTTCTATCTTGATGGAGAAGAGGGGTTCCTACCCAGGATCATACAACACAGCAAATAGCATAGAGCTCTTTCCTTTTTTTTTTTTTGGTTGGGATCAGGGGTTGTTTCTTTGAGATTTAAGTTTTCATTTTTGAGGGGTAATGACCTTCAAGTAAAACAGTAATAGCAAGAGTGAAGGTACTTTGGAACCACTAACACCTCTGCACAGGGCAGTCAGCCAGCTCAAGTTGTTTTTCATACAAAGGGACTTGGCAGGTGGTTTGAGTACCCGCCCCTTCACCTCACAGACAAGGCAGCTGGCCCAGTCTGGGGAGTCTGCCCAGGACAGTGGTGGAGCTGGGCCTTGAAACCCAGTCTGTACCTAAAAAACTAAGGGAAATGGATCATTCTCAAAGGAGCAACAGTGACACCATCCCTGCACTCCTGGGTCCTGGTCTTACAGTGCCCAAGGCATGGCATGGTGGCAGCTGGACCCTTCCCCACCAGGTAACACTGGGGCTAGAGGTGGGCTCTGTTTAGGAGGGTGGTCAGACCACACAGCCAAATTGCTCCTCAACCCTAGACAAAGCCTTTGACCACGAGGGAGGTGCTATTAGCTGGGCAGCCCTTTTGGGTTTCAGAGACTGGTGTTGGCTCCAGACTGGTCTCATCTCCATTGCCTTAATGACAGGTGGCCCAGGAGTACCCATTCATAGCAGCTGTGGGTGTGGGCATCTTCAGATGTTCTGGTAAAATTGTGAGATTAGCTGTATGAAGGAAACCAGTGGGAGGAAAGGAAGTTTTCAGGATGGTGAGATTTGATTCAGACACAGTGCACGTGCTGCTAGGGCTGTCACTGGGCAGTGGCCTTCATGGAGAGTGGTACCAGCACCTCAGTCCATCCAGGATATTTAGAAACACTCAGTCTCTGGTCCCAGAGGATGGCTTCTCAGGCCATGCCACAAGTTAAAACGTCACCTGCCAGGAAGATGAATGAGAAAGCTGCCCATTCTTAAGACCCATCTGCCTAAGGAGGGTCACAGAGGCAGGATGTAAGCCACACTGTTGCATTCTTGCATAAGTCATGAAAATGGGGCCGGAGGGGGAGCCTGGACATCAGGGACTTCTGCCCACAGCACATGGCACCCACAGCTGCCCAGCCTGTCCACATGCTGGGGCCCAGCACAGCCCCTAAAGCCACATGGGACAGTGGGCTTTGTTCACTATAGCCACAGGGGCATGAAAGGGATCTTTTGCATTGCAGAGATTTTATATATATTTTGTTTGTAATGAGCCATTCTCAATAAATTCTCACTGCAAAATGGTGGCAGCCCCTGGCTGGCCTTTGTGACGCTGCGTTGATCTGCAGAATTCCTGTCCTCAAGTTCTCAGCATGAGCACACAGGAACCCAGGTCCTTGTCTTGCCATACGCACTTTAGCTGGGACTGGAATCCTGTTTTCTAGGGCCACATCCATCCCATTGAGGCCTGGATGCTTGTGCCCATCCTGGACAGGCAGTACTGGAGGTAGAAGGGCCTTGTGGCTCAGCTCAACTGAATTGAAACAAATGCAGTTACAGGAGATACAACAAAATGAGGGAGATGTTGAAGCAGTAGAGATGAAAGTGGGTGGGATGGTGAGTCCTGAGTGGGGCTGGCTCCTCAGAGCATGCAGAAGTGGGGTTTAGGGAGACAGATCAAGGTCTCTGGGAGGGGCCTCATTGGGAACCAAGGGGCCAAGCCAGAACAGAGATCTGAGCCCAAATGCTACCATACCAGGGGCCAAGTGATGGGACTAGCATGGACTTGAGTGTTCATGGAAAAAAACTCAATGCCAGGAAACGTAGGCTGAGATGCCCTGGGGTAGACCAGTCGCCCCTCCAGTAGCTTCCTCTCTGCCTCACACTCAGCCTCCCTCCTGGCTGCCTGCCCAAACATGTATCCTGAATACTGCTTGAGGCTCTGCCCTGAGCCCCTGGTGAAATACTGTGCTTTCCACAGCCCTGGGGAATCTGGTGAGTAGGACGCCCTATGCTATTTAGGGCCTCTTAGCTTATCAGGACTTGATGTCCACATCAAGCCTTCACAACAGATGGCCTCCTCTTGGTACCTCCTACCTGCCAAAGACCTTTCCTCCCTCAGGGCGTTTGTACCTGCTGTTCCCTCCCTTGTCCCCTCACTCAGGACTCTCTTCCAATGTCACCATTTTTTTTTTTTTTTTTTGAGATAAGTGTCTTGCTCTATTGCCCAGGCTGGAGTGTAGTAGCAAGATCTTGGCTCACTGCAACCTTCAACTCCGGGGTTGAAGCAATTCTCCTGCCTCAGTCTCCTGAGTAGCTGGGATTATAGGCACACACCACCATCCCTTGCTAATTTTTGTATTTTTAGTAGAGACAGGGTTTTACTATTTTGGGCAGGATGGTCTTGAACTCCTGGCCTCAAGTGATCTGCCTGTCTCGGCCTCCCAAAGTACTGGGATTACAGGCATGAGCCATTGCACCCAGCCACTTCTTTTTTTTGAGATGGAGTTTCACTCTTGTGAAACTCCAGCCCAGGCTGGAGTGCAATGGAGTGATCTCGGCTCACCACACCCTCCGCCTCCCATGTTCAAGCAATTCTCCTGCCTCAGCCTTCGAGTAGCTGGGATTACAGGCATGTGCCACTGTGCCCAGCTATTTAGTAGAGACAGGGTTTCTCCATGTTGGCCAGGCTGGTCTTGAACTCCCAACCTCAGGTGATCCACCCACCTTGACCTCCCAAAGTGTTGGGATTACAGGCATGAGCCACCGTGTCCGGCCAAAACTTTTATGTCTCTTGGATATGGGTGCATAAGCCACCATCCTGATTGGTCTCATGGGGGAAGGGGAGTTTCCAAATTCAACTGACAGGGTTTGGAAAAGTTTCACAGTGCAGAGAGAAAAACCCAAGTGCTATAGGGCCCTTTGGGCCAACTCAAAGTCTTTGTTTTGTTGCATCTATACCTGAATTTGTGGTAGGAGCTGGTGCTTCTTTCCAGCCCTGAAGTGCTAAAGGGGGTTCTCTTCAGTCAACACTAGAGGGATAAACTCCCCTGCCATTTACCCCACCGTGGGTGAGTCAGGATTTAACTCAGTCTTTAACCATACAGATAACATCCTCTTGGATGGCAAGTCAAAAGTCTCAGTCTTGGAGATCCTGATCATAGTGTTACCTCACCACCGGCAGCAGGGACTGACAATCCCTGACAAAATTCCATTTCTTGGGCTATGACTGCTGATTCCCGTGCCCCCCCCCCCCTTTTTTTTTTTTTAGATGGAGTCTAGCTCTGTTGCCTGGGCTGGAATGCAGTGGTGCAATCTCGGCTCACTGCAACCTCTGCCTCCCAGATTCAAGTGATTCTGCTGCCTCAGCCTCCTAAGTAGCTGGGATTATAGGCACATGCCACCACACGCAGCTAATTTTTGTATTTTTAGTCAAGATGGTTTCACCATGTTGGCGACGTTGGTCTTGAACTCCTGGCCTCAAGTGATCCGCCAGCCTCAGCCTCCCAAAGTGCTTGGATTACATGCGTGAGCCACCGCACTCGGCCAATTCACTATGTTTAATCCTTTCAGCAGTCAAGGAAAAACTGCCATCTCCTCTTGATCATTCTACCACCACCAAAAAAGAAGGCCCTTGGGTATCGGATTCCTTGGGTATTGAAGACAGCATATGCCTCACTTGGGCATCCTACTTGGTCATCCTACATCTGCTAACTTGCCAACCAGCACCCTTTAGAGCAGGGCACAGGCCAGAAGGCTGTATTGGAAGCTGTCCAGCAAGCCCCCTCTCTACCTGTGGGTCCTCACAACGCTAATGAGCCCTTTAAGCTAAACAAGGCTCTGTGACTGATAATTTTGCTAGTTGGAACCTTTGGCAAAGGGAAGCCGACTGTACCCAGAGGTACCCCTGTTTTGGACTTCCTGTCTCCCTGACACAGGGATCAGGTACACCTCTTTCGAAAAGCTATCTGGACTTTTTTTTTTTTTTTTTTGAGACAGAGTTTCACTCTTGTTACCCAGGCTGGAGTGCAATGGCACGATCTCGGCTCACCGCAACCTCCGCCTCCTGTGTTCAGGCAATTCTCCTGCCTCAGCCTCCTGAGTAGCTGGGATTACAGGCACGTGCCACCATGCCCAGCTAATTTTTTGTATTTTAGTAGAGACGGGGTTTCACCATGTTGACCAGGATGGTCTCGATCTCTTTTTTTTTTTTTTTTTTTTGAGACAGAGTTTCCCTCTTGTTACTCAGGCTGGAGTGCAAATGGTGCGATCTCGGCTCACCGCAACCTCCGCCCCCTGGGTTCAGGCAATTCTCCTGCCTCAGCCTCCTGAGTAGCTGGGATTACAGGCACATGCCACCGTGCCCAGCTAATTTTTTGTAATTTTTAGTAGAGACGGGGTTTCACCATGTTGACCAGGATGGTCTCGATCTGCTGACCTCGTGATCCACCCGCCTCGGCCTCCCAAAGTGCTGGGATTACAGGTGTGAGCCACTGTGCCCGGCCAGAAAAGACTATTTCTCATGCAGAGGCTACCACCACATACCAGGCTGTGATTCCTATCACAGGTTGGCCCATTTCTCTTGCAAAGGAGGAGGTCATCTTGCACAGGGCATGGCCCCAGCCTACTCACAGCAGATCAACTTCATTAGACCTTTGACCTCTTGGGGCTATTGGTAGTGCTTTGCCACTGTTTACACTTTCTCAGGTTATTGGATTGTTCCAGCCTATCAGCCAACTCTGGGCACAACACTGCAATCCTTGAAACTAATCTGTGTCATGTTTTGGCTCTCTGGACCATCAGTAGTGTGACAATGGTGGACCTTTTATTACAAAAGCCACTCAACAGTAATTGTGGTATTCAAGAGATCTTCCACACTCCTGCCAGCCTTGGGTATCTGGTATTGCATTGGAACAGCTTCCTGGAAAATCAACTCAAGGTCTCCGATTCTACTTTTCTCTCTCTCTCCCTCCCTCCCTGCCTCCCTCCCATTCCATGCACTTTCATAAAGTATTTTGTTTGTTTTGTTTTTTGTTTTTTGAGATGGAGTCTTGCTCTGTTGCCCAGGCTGGAGTGCAGTGGTGCAATCTTGGCTCACTGCAACCTCTGCCTCCCAAAATCAAGCCTCTCCTGCCTCAGCCTCCCAAGTAGCTGGGATTACAGGCACGTGCCACCACGCCCAGCTAATTTTTTTTTAAGATGGAGTCTTGTTCTGTTGCCCAGGTGGGAGTGCAGTTGTGCAATCTCAGCTCACTGCAACCTCTGCTTCCCTGGTTTAAGCGATTCTCCTGCCTCAGCCTTTAGAATAGCTGGGACTACAGACTCGTGCTACCACACCCAGCTAATTTTGTTTGTTTATTTATTTATTTGAGACGGAGTTCACTCTTGTTACCCAGGCTGGAGTGCAATGGTGCGATCTCGGCTCACCACAACCTCCGCCTCCTGGGTTCAGGCAATTCTCCTGCCTCAGCCTCCTGAGTAACTGGGATTACAGGCACGTGCCACGATGCCCAGCTAATTTTTTGTATTTTTAGTAGAGACGGGGTTTCACTGTGTTAGCCAGGATGGTCTCCATTTCCTGACCTTGTGATCCAACCGCCTTGGCCTTCCAAAGTGCTGGGATTACAGGCAGGAGCCACTCTACCCAGCTGGTAATTTTTGTATTTTTAGTAGAGACAGGGTTTCCCCATGTTGGCCATGCTAGTCTTAAACTCCAGACCTCAAGAGATCCACCTGCCTTAGCCTCCCAAAGTGCTAGGATTACAGATATGAGCCACTGTGCCCTGCTTTTTTTTTGTTTAAGTAGAGATAGGGTTTTGCTATATTGAACAAGCTGGTCTCAAAGTCCTGGCCTCAAGCAATCCTCCCATCTCAGCCTCCCAAAGTGCTGGGATTTGAGGTCTGAGCCAAATGCACCTATCTTTAAAAAGGCTACTTCGTAGAAAGGTGTATCTGAATGAAGAGGTGTAGGAAAGCTATGAAGATCTATTTTTAAAATTTGGGATTCTGACTGGACTCCTCCTGGGCAAGTGGCTTGCTTGCTTTCCCCTAGCAGCAACCCCAGGCCAGCCTGGTGGGCACACCTTCTAGATGGCATTGCAATTATAAGGGGCCTAGGGGCTCAAACCTGACTGTGTTTCAGCCACCTGGATTCTCTTGTTGGACTGACATGGTCTTAGAGTGTAAGAATAATGACCATAATGACCCCTTAGAGTGGCACGTGCAGGACAAAGTAGGGAACATAATGGGTCTCTGTGCATTTTGTAAAAATGCCCTTATTCCTCTTGGACCTGACACTTCTA